CTACTGCTGCTTCTACTACTACTACCACTACTACTACTACTACTACTACTACTACTACTACTACTCTACTACTACTACTACTACTACTGCTACTTCTACTGCTACTGCTACTACGACTACTACTAACTACCACTACCACTACCACTACCACTACCACTACTACCACTACTACTACTACTACTACTGCTACTACTACTACTACTACTACCACTACTGTTACTACTACTGCTACTCCTACTGCTACTGCCACTGCCCCTGCCACTGCTACTACTAATGCTACTGCTACTGCTACTGCTACTACTACTACTACTTCTTCTTCTGCTACTACTACTACTACTGCTACTGCTACTGCTACAGCTACTGCTACTTCTCTACTACTACTGCTTACTACTAATAATCCTTGAGCACATACCACTACCGCTACCGCCACTCCTATCGACTCCGCTGCAGCTGCTGCCCCGACTACTGCGTTGATTACCGCAAGAGTAGTTTTCCTTCAGCGTCTCGATCTGCTGTGACAGGATGCTGTTAAACTGGCCACAGTAGCTTGCGATGGTATCCTATTTCATTGTACCGTAGGGCATATCTCATCGCCGTGATTCAATCCTCCCCCTTTCCGGCTCGGCCTTCAAAACGTATTTTTCTGCCAGAGACGGCCAAAACCTTCACTTTCGGCTTATGCAGTTGTTTCGGGGCCTGTTCTGCTGCTCCACTTAAGACCTTGCAGGGCGACTCTAGGAGGCGAAATCTGCGCGACAATTCCAACTATCGCCTGTTGAATCAGGCGTTGCGCGAGCAGGACCCAAAACAAAACCATCACTCGAAATGAAGCCAGCTTCAGGACTCTTCAATACAAATTATCACGCAGAAGCACGACGTTTGAATCAATAAATAAACTGACAGACTACAGGTTTGTAGTTTCGTCATTTTTGACAAGGTAGTTAGTTAAGGATTCAGGCTTTCTGGAAGTGGGTTTTCGTTCTGAGGCTCGGGATACTCGTTCTTTTTAGCGGACTGCCTTGACCCATGACCGGGGTGACGCGGGTGCGATTACAAGTCATGGAGGGGGGTGGGAGGAGGGGTCTGCCATTGGGCGCAGGGCAGTCCGCAGGGCTCTGCAATAAAGGGCTCTTTGGTGGCTAAAGCGGTGCTGCAATCGATACTTGCTGGAAACAAACAAAGCACCCGATGCAGCTCCCAAGAGACCTGGCCGCACTTGCCCGACGCGCGACACGCGTGTGATCTGGTCTCGTGACTGATCAATATACATGGCCCATTCGTGCGGTCGATTGTGCACACACGCAGACCTTGCAACCAGTACCTCAAATCCGCATGCAAGAAATTCAGGATGATTGGGCGTTGCATGCGAAGTCCTTGCAGTTTCGGTTCCGGTTTCCTTTCTTTTAGCGAAATCGCTGTGTTTTTGCGTCGCGGCTGACAGGTGTCTGAGTCCGAGACGTAGCAGCAAAAGCGAATGTCCTCAGGCCGCCTTGGGGGCCGCAGTGGGGGCCACTGCTTGGCATGTGGCTTCTGGCCTTATGCTGGAGGCTGGAAGGGCTTGGGGATCTTACAAGCCACGCAGGTCGAGCCTTCGGCCAGAATCGCCATAGAGTGGTGTTGAAGTAGACGGGATAGGACGGGGTGAAAGAAGAGTAAGCCTGAAGGAGTACCAAAGACATTGATGAACGCATCAGCCGGTCGTGTGTGGGCACGTGCTGTTCAAGCCGACCACAGCCTTCTGTCCAGCCAGGTCGCTGAGCTTGTCAGCCATGAGATCGCTACAGATCTTCAACGCACGACGGCAAGAGTCAAAAAAGCATGTCTGCCAGGATGCACGTGTTTTCGTGCTGATTCGGTTGCCACCTGGTGATAAGAATATCACACGGTACCTCAAGCCAGAGAGTTGGATGTCCTGGATGAGCCATTTTCCAGAAGGTGCTTGCGCATGCTTTCAGTGCAGTGCGGGAAGGGTTAACGGTTACCTCGACCATTGATTTGCTCTTCTGGGGCAAGTCAAGTCCGGTCACAGTCAGTGTCTGCTGCAGGTCACAGTCCACTACACCGGGCGTTTGCAGGCAGCCCACACTAGCAACCGTCACAAAGAGTTCGCACAGTACTGCAGTGCAAAGAGGCAGAGGGCCTAGCGCAAGAAAGAGTGAGTGAGTGAGTGAGTGAGTGAGTGTGAGTGCGTGGGTGGGGGTAAGTGGGTGAGTGGGTGCGTGCCTGCCTGCGTGCGTGCGTGCGTGAGTGCATAAGTGCATGAGTGCGTGCATGAGTGAGTGAGTTGAAAGCGGACCTTTGCAAGAACTGATTCGGTCAATGGCTTCCCACTGTGTTCAAAACAGCGCAACTAAGAACGTGTACACGAACTCTCGCCGAAAGCAAAGAAGTGTGACCCTTGAACAATTTATGTTTTGACTGGTTCTGTCTTTTGGCCGATTGAGTAGCCCCAAAAGGGACAGGGCCTGCACTTCAAGCGGAGACAAACGCGGGACTGACTAATGTACAACATCCTTGTTGCGGCTGTTGTTGAACATGGAGGTGTTCCTGTTTGCACACCGAGCTGAGATGTTTCTGTCAAGTGAGTCAAGCATGTTGAGACGAAACTGTAGTCCGCAAATGCACATGCAGTAGCAGCACCAGGGACAAACATTATGCTTAATGCAGCAGCTAGCACCCGTTCCACTGCAAAGACCGGGTTAGCCACCTTATCATCTCAGCGCCTCTCATCCAGTGATGAAACTGGAACAGTTGAGTTTGGATTGGGTATTGATTTTTATGCTGAGGGTTTAAATTTTTATGCTGTGCACCTTCATGTCTCCATTGACCTCCATGTTTCCATCCCGTTGTCGACAGGGTTTTCTTATCCGCATGGAATATCCTCTTATGCCTGTGTTTTTCTTTTTATGCTACCAGTTTCTGTTTTTTCTGCCAATCTGCCCTTTTGTTATGCTGCCCCCTTTCCTTGTTATGCTGCATGGGCCAGGTGGGAGCCCACTGCCTCTTTGCATTTTATGCTTGACTGGTGACAGTTTTATGCCAATCTGATCCTTTTTTATGCTGCCCCCCTCTCCTCTTTAAAAAGATTATGCTCCATGGGCCAGATGGAAGGGGGGTGAGGAGCTGGGCCCCCGTTGCCCATGTGGGCGAGCCTGACTTTTTCTTATGCCGGCCTGTATGCGGCCGATTCAGCAACCGTAAGGTTAAGCAACGGGCATACCTCAAAACGGAGTCAACAAAAGGATAATCCAGGTTCCAGCTGACTGTCAGGGTCCGTGCCAAGCGAATTGGAGGGATTGCTTGATTCGAATTTCTGTGGCCACTGAGCAACTTAAGCAGGTTAATTTCGGATTCCGGTTGTTATTTGTGGGAACACCACTGCTTTCTGCGTTGCTGCTGAAGAGCTCCACGGCATTTTGAAGCATGGATGGTGTGAACCTCATCTTGGAAACCACCTGCAGCGGGCCTTTGCACGTCGCGCAGAGCGGAGCTATGCTGCCGAAGTGGAAATGATCTCCATTGTCTTGCAGAAGGGCGCTTAGCACTGCTCGGGCAACTGGAGAGGCCATGGAGCGCAGGGCCGTTGCAGCACTCATGTTAAATGCTTAGAATTTCTTGGTTTTTTGCACTTTGAAGAAATTCTGATACAGTTATCCTGGCTCTCTTCGGCTGTCAAGTCCCAACGCCATTGCACTCAATCGGCGAAGAGGCTGCATCATGTTCCGTGATCAGGCCAGGCCCGCTCCTAGTGCGAATTTCCGTGGTTACAGTTTTTCGGCCAAAGGATCCGTGATGCGAAAATTGGTCAGTCTACAGAGGCCTTTTTTCCTGTTCTTCGTTCGCTTCAAGTGCTTACCTTCTTCTCTCCATCGCATATGTTAACACAGGTAAGATTTGCTGCGCGATACCCGTCATGTGTGGCTCAGCTCGCAACCTGTTGGTTCAGCTCTGGTTTCATAGCGTGTGTTTGCCTTCCGTCCATGCAGGCAGATGTGACAGCAGCTTTTCAAGAACCAGAGCCCCGTCTCTACCTCCATCGGTGGCGCTTGTGCGCGGTCTTTCCTTGAGATCGGCCCCAACACCAGCCACTTGTTTTTGTTTTCTTGAGGGAGTGCTAGCGAAATCGACCGCTTACGCTATGTACATAGGTGTGTTTGTGTCTGCTTACGATACTACTACTTACTACTGCCCATTAAGGAGTTAGGTTCGCAAAAGGACAGCCTAGGCAGCCCCCCCGGCCCCTTGGGAGCTAAAACAAACAACTAGGTCGGCAGAAAGGAAGGGGTCACTGCATAAACAAAACCCGGGCCAAGCATAAAACAAAGCCAGGTCCAGCACAAAAAACAGCCCGCCACGCGTCCTGCATAAAAGAAAGCGAGGTTTAGCACAGAAACGAATTCGCTGTCCGTTGAGTTTTGCTCGGAACTGTTGGCAGCTGCAGATCGCAGATCCATGGAACAAAAAGAGTGGCCGGAGATCTGTAGGCTCGAATACAAGGAAGACGTGTCTCGCAGGCAATCCCCAACCTGGCCATCTTCTCATGGAAGCCTTCAAAACAACGGTGACCAATCAAGCAAGAGGAAAGAGATAAATTGGGGGAGTGACTGCGCGTTGCTTGTCTTCTTCTCCTGCATAAGAAAGCCATAAGAAACAGACTAAGACTGAGAGAGCCAGACATGGAGAGACAGGACGGAGAGCGAGACGGAGAGCCAAAGGCCGTGCGCCTGTTCAAGGGGATCTGCCCCCAGTCCCTGTGGATTTACCTCAGACCGTGAGCCTCGTCAGGCCCTTGGCCTTCAGGCAAGTTGGGGTTTAGGCTATGGGGTTTACTGGCAAAACTTTTCAACAGTGGCACTTGGATCCGGACCGGCACGCCCGAGCTTCGAAGCGCAATGGCTTTACCGTTTGCCTGTGTCAGAAGCGAAGAACACAAAGTGTGAGAGAGAGGAAGGTAGAGTGACAGTTCGATCCCGAACACACCTCCAGTTGTCGTTTTAGACGGACCCCTGGGATCGAGGCCTGAGGGGTGCAGGGGTTTCTTTGTTTTTTTGAATGTGGGGAAGAAGAGACAGAGAGAGAACGAGAGATCCAAGCAGGAGGGGCCCAGATGCATCGTTGCTTACTGCAATACTTGCATGATGGTCGCTTCATTTGTGTTGTTTTTGCGTTGGGAATGAGACGCTGGTGCCCATAAGCCAAAGGGCAAAACAAGAGTTCTTGCGCAGTTGTCTCTGGAGGAACCGTGGAAGACCTGACTGAAACTTGGAAGGTTTTTCAAGGTCACGGTTTAGCAGGGGTGTTTTGGGGGACGGAGTTCACAGGGGAACACGTGTTCGCTCACCCCGGAGGGGGCTGCTCAGACCCTTGGATCGCGAACTGCGGGGGTCGGCCTTCGGGCCAAGAGTCTTCCGGGACCCTCTACCCGTTGCAAGCAAGCAAGCAAGCAAGCAAGCAAGCAAGCAAGAGAGGAGAGAGAGAGAGAGAGAGCGAGGGAGAGAGGGGCGATTCTAGCAGCAAGCAAGTAGCCAGAAACAGTTGCACAGACAAAGGCTTACCATGTCTGGGCATGAAGCTGTTCGACGAAGGCCTCAGGCGAGGAGTTCGACTCTTCAATGGGCAAGGTGCGACCGTCTACCTGTTGCCGCAACATATGAGCACCATAGTTACAGTGACGGTTGCATGAGTGTTGCATGCAATGCCACGTGAGGAACCAGCCATTTTTGATCTCGGCAAGGGCGAGGTCATCAAAGGCCACAGCATTTGCGCGAACTAAGTATCTTTGTTGGGAAGGCCTATCGTTCCGTCCCTTTGAGCTCCACAGTTCCTTGCGCTGAGCTTGCATGCAAGGCTGGGAGGCAGGTATTCCTACAATGCGCGTGGGTGAGGCCTGGTCCGTGTCGCCAAGCGAGTTCTCAGAGCTGCCTAGAGGGTCTAGACGTGAAGTGTCAAGACTGTTCTTTTTCATATTTACAAGCTCCAATCACTTTACCCCTCCCTACTTCTTGGTTCTAGTTGGGAAGGGAGGCGTGGGATATCCTATTTCCTATTCTGGTTGTACCGGTGGGACGTTGCAAATAGAAAAAATGGTTGGATATCGTGTGGGTATTTCTTATTAACCATGCATGCCCACAGAGACAGAAAGAGAGAGAAAGAGAGAGAGAGGCCGCCTCGAGCGCGGGGTGCGGGCCCTTCCCCCTCCTCTCACCTTTGGGAAAGAAAAAGAGGCGCGTGTGGGCGGGTGTGTGTACAAGTCTGTTACCACAGGACCTCAGTTTGTTTGCTTGCATGCCGGTCCTCCATGTTTCGAAGCCTGCCGTGTTGTGCAGGGGGTTCTTGCGCAATCAGCAACTCGTGTGCCAACGAAAACGGTTGCTGATTGCAGTGAAAGTTCTTGCAAAGAGGAAAACTCATGGGCTTTGCAGCAGGTTGGGGTCGCAAGTGTGTGCCGAGTAGTTGCAGGGTTAATCTCTGCACTGGTTTACCGCGCTGCCCATGCTGGGGTAGCGCGGGCTCACATGCCTGCCAGATACTGTTATGCTACGGCAGGGTTCGATCAACTTGGATCAAGTGTGTGTTGCTCCTGGGTGCGGTGGCATAGCTGGAGAACACCACATGAGATCCCCAAGGCCGTTCGTTCGGACGGTCGTCGTTGAACTGTCTGGCCTCAGAGCATGCAAATCCATGCGGCCCTTGAGGGACTCTGGTGTTGCTCCTGGATGCGGCGGCATAGCTGGCGGACACTACACTACTCTGAAACCCGCAAGACTTTTTGCCACGCTTGATTGTAGAGAATCGGTTTTAATCAGGTCCGATCAGACAACGCAGGTTCATCCTGCAGCTGAACCAGATCTTTTTCAAGTATGTGCAAACGGGGATGTCGGACTTGTGGCAAGCACTGCGGGGCTGCGGCTGCCAATAAGAACTACGAGCCGTACGTGCCGGGCCTGGAAAGTAGTAGTGACTTAGTAGTACTTGTAGTACTAGTAGTCGTCGTAGTAGTAGTAGTAGTAGACAGTAGTGGTACACACCATTAGTGGTAGTAGTGGTCGTCGCACTGGTAGCGGTAGGTGGTTGTGGTGGTAGCAGTAGCAGTAGCAGTAGCAGTAGCAGGAGCAGGAGCAGTAGCAGCAGTAGTAGTAGCCGTAGCCGTAGCCGTAG